AAGAAATTATACGGGAAATTAATAAATGACCAGAGACGGAACAGTACTATATTTACAAATTAAATCAATAAAGATATATTCAAACCCTCAAGTATAGTCCTAGTGCAAGTTGTGTTCTTTTGTGAAGACAATACTTTTATTTAAAACTGTGTTCTGTGATAAAGAAATGGTTGTTATACATACTCTAGTTATTTTTCTAATCGTCTTAATCTTGAATACCCTAAGTGTGGATGTGTTATGAATTTAATAGATATAATGTAGCGCCATCTATTGAATGGTAAAAACAAACAAACCATTTCTCTATCACAGAATACAATTATATATATGTGTGTGTGTATATATATATATATATCCACCCTGGATCCATTATAGGAAGACAATTTGCATTACCTCATAATTATATTGTGTAAAGAATGAATTATGATGATAATGTATTTATGCTGTTTTATTTTGCAGTAATGAGTAACTTGTTGTACCTATCAAGTAAATTTAAAGATATCTGTTTATCAGTTTCTTATTAAATGACTAGATTTATATCAAAGCTGTGTATATTATGCTTATTTTTTTAAGTTGAATATCATGATGATTGCCATATAAAGTGATGTATAAACTCTACAAAATATATTCAATATTAAACTTGGAAATAGTTTGAGTTTTCTAAGAATTTACTTTTAAGTTTGTTGCATAATATTGCTCTATTACAATGCATATATACACACACACACACACAGTAACATCAGGTTACTAGAGAATACTGTTAAATACTGAGTGTTTCTTTTTTTATCTATAGTAACAAATATACATTTATCCTTTTCCAGATGGGTTATGGGTCAAAGCCCATGTCATCGTGTTTGATGATTCATATTCAAAATTTTATTGAACTACTATTTCATGAATTTATGTCAATAAATTTGGTGTCAAATTGTAGATTATAATTCAGATTTTAGTATTATACCTTACTCAATTTCTTAATTTAAAAGTAAATGTAAAAAATCAGTTAAACATCAATTGTGTCACATGATCTGTTGAATGCAGCACTGGTTCAAATTAGACGTTTGTGGTGTCAAAATACTAAGTCTGTAGTTTCGTACGAATTAGAAACTCAAATTACCGATATTGACAAGCTCAAATATAAAATAAGAACCTCCCATCTTTTCTCTTTGCTGAGATATCGCTCATGTATTGAATCAAACACAGTGGCCCAACTCACCCCTTTCCATTTTTGGAAATGGTCTTTTATATACACTTACTTCAATATATGACATTTAGTCTATACATTCATGTTTTCGTGTTATAATTTGTTGTCATTTTAAAACAAAAGAGGCATAATTTATATTTATTTGCTAATTTTTTTATGGTGGTTACAAGATCTGTAAAATCTACCGAACCCATACAGAAATTTGTTAGTGAAAATAACAGATAAAATATAAAGTATTTTTCTTAAGAAACATTTGATAACAATCTGGACATTATAAAGGTTAGGCATGTGGAATTTAAAAATTTTCTGATGCATAAAAGTATTTTTAATCTTAAAATCAAAATTACTTTGTATGTTGGATAGGCAACATGCGAAAAGAAAAAAAAAGGCAAGAGAAAAACATTGCTTAACAGACCTTAAAACGTAATAAAAAAAATTATATTTTGTGTATGAAACCATTGTAATGTTTACTGATAATTTGCCTAATTTTGTTAACATACACTTGCTAATTTAAACATTATAGCATGAAACCTATAACAAGCACAAAATGGTTATGAAAGAGTTATGTGCTGAAAGAGTTAATATGCATGTACTAACAATGAAAGACCAGTAAATAAAATGGTTCATGCATTACATATGTTTTTTAACATTTCTATAAATACAATAATGACAAAAGATTAGTCAATAAAATGTTTGATGTCTTATGCTTTTTTAAAATATTTTTATCAAGCTTTAAGAAACAAACCAATAAATAAAATTTAAAATGCCCAATGTTTCTCATTTCCTTTGCATAGACCAACAACCAATAACAAGTCAGCAAAATTAATAGTTTCATTTTGAGTTTACTTACTGATTAAGTGTTATTTTACTAAGAGTTACAGCTTTTACAAATCTTCCTTACTGTAAAAGCTGTAACTTGTAATAAAATAACTGAACAAAATGTGTAGTGCCTAGTGTTTCACTTTTACAGCTTTATCTGGAATATCATAATCACTGTGATGTTGTTTAATGCTCCAGTAAAACTGAGAAATAAGGTATGGAGCTTTAAACAGTAAATGTTTGTTTAATTATAGGTTAACCTTTTTTTGGTTATAAAAGAGTCACTGATATGTTACAACTAGCTAAATTATACAAGCAATTGATATTACAATTTTCTTTTCAGATGGGTCTGTGGTTAGGAGAAGTTCTAGAAAAAGAAAACAGGCACATGGTTTGAAAGGTGACACCATTACAGTAAAAATAGTTTTTTACTACTATAGATGTACTGCATTAGTTTTTAGGGTTGTAGAGGTGTCCATACTAATAAATTAATATGCCTGCACAGATTTGAGATGAGTATAAGTGAAAATTTTAGCATTATATATGTGTAATTGTTTCATGACAAATGAATCGTCTTGTACAGTTGGAATTAGTAGTAGTGAAATAATAGGTTATATGTATGAATAAGTGTTCTATAAAAGTTACATTAAAATACACTATGATTATACAGGGTAATTATAAAGAAAGTTTCATCATATCTTAAATAGTATGGCATAAGAGTGTGAAGTTGCTCATGTATGTTACTGGTATCACATGATTGCGAGTTCCATGCTTGTCACATGTTGTTACCTGTGCTTTCTTTCATGTATTTCTCATGGGCATAAGTGGACCTGTTGATCGCAGTGCAGATCATTCAGCCAACATGAAACTGATAAGAGTGTTGATGGTTGAACTAGTGAAATGTTACTATACCAAAAGATCCTATGTCAAGGAATCTCTTAGGGAATACTATGGAAGCATAACATCAACAGAGGGCCTTGTTCCATTGTTACTGTGCACAAGTTCATAAACAAAATTTTAGGAGTCAAGTTTCACTTGTGATAAACCACATACAATTGGACCACAGACAATTACTGAAACTATTGCTAAGGTCAACCATACTGTAACAGAACAAAATAGCACAAGTGCACATGGATGCAGCAGTGCATATTATTTTGCATGGTGTCTGGACTTGCCTGTTTTAACTATTCATAAGGCTCTTTGGTCAACTTTGTGAATGCTTTTTTACAAGTTGCATCACGTTCAAGTACTGAAGGAGGGGGATTTAACCCAATGTGTTTTTGCATTGCAGATCTTGGTAAAACTGGAAGTTGATGACCTGCCAATATCTTATGGAATGATGAAGTGCATTTCACTCTTTCTTGAAGTGTCAACACAAACAACTGAATTATCTGATCAGAAACTAATCTACACATAATATTTCCTATTTTCTTCACACCTCCTTGTTACTAAGATAACAGTATGGCGTAGTTTCTCAGCTGACTTTGCCATTGGACCATACCTTTTTTTTGAAGAACCATTAGCACATACACTATAAATTTGCTAAGTCAATGCTGTACAGTACCATGCAATGCTCTTGACTAACCCTTTCCAGACAGGTCACGGGTCAAAGGCCATGTCATCGCGTTTGTTGACTCGCATTCAAAATTTTATTGAACTACTACTTTATGAATTTATGTCAATAAGTTTGGTATCAAACTGTAGATTATAATTCAAATTTCAGTATTATACATTATTCAATTTCTTAATTTAAAAGTAAATATTAAAAAAACACAATTAAACAGTTTTTTTGTGTCACGTGGTATGTTGAATACAGCACAAGTTCAAATTAGATGTTTGTGATGTCAAAATACTAAGTTTATAATTTTGTATGAATTAACAACACAAATTACCAATATTGACAAGCTTGAATATAAAATATGAACCTCGTATGTTTACTATGTGCTGAGATATTGCTCATGTACTGAATCAAACACAATGGCTCTGCTCACCTCTTTCCATTTTTGGAAACGGTTTCTTATATACACTTACTTCAATATATGCCATGTGAATAACCAATTGCAAACTCAGAATGTCCCCTAGTGGCTTTCTTGGCCATTTTTCATGTGTTAGTCTGATCAAAATTTCATATTTATTTTGACCCCAATACGGCTTAATTACTAAGCTTGAAAAATTATAGTGTAATTCTATGGTATTGATATAGTAATTTATTATTTTTTGGTTATTTAACTGTATATATAAAACCTAAAAAAATTATTTAATTTCATATCCTCCACGTGTGAAATTTTAAAAGGATCAGCAACCTATGTCAAACAGCAACCGAGTACAAAGGTCATAACTAGAAGAGATAATTGTTTGCTTTACTTCTTTATTTACTGTTCATTGTTTTAAGATAAGTAAGTTTAAGAACTTATTTCTAAATATTAATAATCTATATACATATATAATGTATAATAATGGAAATGTGACTGTATTTTACAAAATACTAGTCTACTAAAACACAGCTAAGACCGGTCATTTTGTAAAGACTAATGGTCAGTTTTATGTTGTTGGATACGGTAACATGAATGCACGTGTGCTGCGTCATTGTAACTTCTGTATTGATAGCCAGGCATGGTTGAAAGGTTAATATAATACAAATAATAAATGTATATAAATGTACAATGTTATGAGATTTAAGTTATTTAGTCTAAACATTTATGTTTTCATGTTATAATTTGTTGTCATTCTAGAATGACAGAGGCATAATTTATATTCAATTCCTAATTTTGTATGGTGGTTACAAAATTGGTCAAATCTAACAAACCCATACATTGTAATGTTTACTGATAATCTGCTAAATGTCGTTAACATATGCTAACTAATTTAAAAGTTACAGCATGAAACTTATAACAAGCACAAAATGGTTACCAGGTTGGTCCCAGGACTGAGCCCACACTGAAAGAGCTAATGTGATTCCCATGCTGCAGCAGTGGAAAGTGATAGACACTAGGAGTTTTGATGCAGAATGATGCCAATCCATAATTAAGTGAAACAAGTCTTACAGGAGAACATTCTGGGCAAAATCATTTCATGTCAATTTCCTTGTGAATGGCCACCTTATTCACTGGACCTAACATCAACGTAATTCCACTTGTGGGTGTTTTGATATCACATATGTACCATGGGAAACCTCTCACAATTCCAAAGCTCAAGGATGCAGTTGTTGTCCAAGATAGTGGCCAGTACACCAGATAAGATGCACAGTGTTGCTGTAATGCCCATTTTCACATGGATGCAATGCATTTTGGACATTGAAGAAGCACATTTTGAACAGTTGCTGTCATTGGCAGCATATTAGGTCATAGTAATGTCCCTGGTGGTAATACATGATAACCATGGCATTTGCAACCACATAATACTCTTAACGTCCCGAGTAATATTACTTTTTTATGCATTATTGTTTGCGAGATATGATGTATGGCAAAACTTTTTTATAATCACACTGTATAATAGTAACAGAATATTTTTAATGTAGAAATAATAATGAAATTATAAAGTGGGAAGAGTATCATTATTGGGCAATAAAAACAATAATATTATATAGTACATGCACATTTGTGTCCTGAACATATAAACTGTTGTAATCTTGAAGGTGGATTTATATGCTATGTTTGCAGATTATGCAGTAGGAAAAGTTAAACTCGATAGTGAGGATGAAGATAACATAGCAACAGAGGAAGAGGAAGAAGCTTCTGAACCAGCAAATAAAAAATTCAGAGGACGTGGGCGGCCTCGTAAGACACCACTGCCAACTTCCCTTCCTGGATCTTTGTTTCCCTTCCTTACACCTGGTATGAATCAGAGATTTTATTGTTTTGGAATTTTACAATTGTTTTATAGTTCAGGAACAATTTATAGAATGTTTTCATATAACAACTGTGTGTGTTCTTACACTATGTATGTGAATGCTGTGTAATTAATGGTTAAGCAATTAACTTTGAATTCATATAAAAACCTAGCTTGCACATTTGATATGTTTATGTAGAAAAATTAAAATAAGGATTATTTTAAGTTTTCTTTCATTTCTTGTATGCTATTCATGTAACTGTGTGATTGATGTGAATTTTTTAAATTAATTCATTATGGTTGTTTTTGATCTAGATGTGTATGTGGCACAGAATGTTCATATAACTTACTTTAGTTACTTAAAAACTAATGATTTAATAATTAATATATAAAAGCAAATACTTTTTATTCAAATATTTCTAACTTATACAGCATTTTGTTAAAAGACTTTGTTCAGTTTTGTTTAAATGTATCTAGTCACATTTATCCTGAATTAAGAAACATGTTTTCGGTTTTGAAATTGTGACATTATGCAATCTTTTTAACATAGTGAGTTTATCATTGCAGTTAAACGAGGACGTGGTCGTCCACGACGATATGGTATTGAAAAGCCAGTGACTCATTCTTTTCTCATTAAGACAGCTGATGGAAAAACTTTGATGATGCAGGTCCCAAACAGTAGTATTCCTCCAAACTTGACCCTGCAAGATGTAGCCCAACAGATTGCTAATGTTTTGAACAATCAGGTATTTAAATTTAAAAAATATATATATATAACGTTTAGGTTTAGTTTTTTGTTGAACTTAGCTTTCATTGATATTTTGAATTTTTTTTTTATGCTGAGCTAAATTTTTAAAGCTCACCTTAAAACTTTAAAAACAACTATAGTTTGTTTCCTATGTACAGGTATACAAGTGAATATACATGTGTTTTTTATGTATGTGCAATGAAAAAATCTTTGCCTCCATGAAACCACCTATATTTTAAATTTGAAAGGGGGCAATGTCCCTTTGAAACCTCCATCAGGGTTTTGACCCTGGTCTTTGCTGGGGCCTTAGGCAGGCTGCAGTTTCCTGGCCTGCAATCACAAATTTTTAACTCCAACTTATTCTCCTGCCTGAATATGTATGATCCATAACAGTGAAATTGTTTGAGTAGTCTTGGTACACAACATGTTTCAAAGTTTGCAAGGTTAAAAAATTCCTCATTTTTGGCAGCCTGATTTTTATTTCACATTGAACATCAAGTATGCTTTGATTGGTTTCATCAGCATATTATTGAAAATGTATTCTTGTGTAAATGGATCAGTTGAAGTGTTGTGGATACTCATTCTACTATTGTTGCATTGATTAAATATTCCCATTTGAAGGATTTTTTGATATTCTTTGTATCATCTTAGTCCCACACTGGCTAACTGTTGCAACTACTAATAAGTATATTCTGCATAATAGTGCATCATGGGATATTGTGGTATCAAGGTAATGT